CTCTGTGTGTGTGTGTGTGTGTGTGTGTGTGTGTGTGTGTGTGTGTTTTTTGAGTTGGAGTCTTACTCTGTCACCCAGACTGGAGTGCAGTGGCCGCTCCCGGCCGCCACAGCCTCGACCTGCTGAGCTCCAGCGATCCTTCCGCCTCAGCCTTCCAAGTAGCCGGAATTACAGGTATGCTACCATGCCCGGCTGATTTTTTGATTTATTGTAGAGATGAGGTCTCACTGCCCAGGTGGGTCTCGAACCCGTGGACTCAGGCAATCCACTCACCTCAGCCTCCCAAAGGCGCGGGATTACAGGCTGAGCCACCGAGCCCGGCTGCATTTATATCTTAATTTACATCTTATCCTTCAAAATACATTATTATACCTTTGCAAATAACCAATAATATACAGAGATATACTTTTAAAGTCTTCATATGTTAGGATGCTCTATTTGTCTTAACCAATAAGACAAATAATCAATAGTTTGGTGGTTGGGCATGGTGGCTCACACTTGTAATCCCAGCATTTTGAGAGGCCGAGGTGGGAGGATTGCTTGAGCCCAGGAGTTCAAGGCCAGCTTAGGTAACAGAGCAACAAAAAAATTTATTAAATTAGCGAGGCATGAGTGACGCGCCTATAGTCCCAGCTATTCAGGAGACTGAGGTGGGAGGATCGCTTGAGCCCAGTAGTTCAAGGCTGCAGTGAGCTGTAATTGTGCTATTGCAACCCAGCCTGGATGATGGAGAGATCCTCACTAAAAAAAAAAAAAATGGTGGGCATATGGCTCACACCTATAGTCCCAGCACTTTGGGAGGCCAAGGTGAGAGGACTGCCTGAGCCCAAGGGCTCAAGACCAGCCTGGGCAACTTGGTGAGCCCTCGTCTCTACAATAAATCAAGAAAAATTAGCTGGGGTGGTGGAATATGCCTATAGTTCCAGCTACTTGGAAGGCTGAAGCGGAAGGATTGCCTGAGCCCAGCAGGTGGAGGCTGTAGTGGCCGGGAGCATGCTACTGCACTCCAACCTGGGCGACAGAGTGAGACTCCAACTCAAAAAAAAAAAAAAAAAGTTTGGTGACAACTGTCCTTTTCTGACATATGATCAGTTACTAATAACTAGTTATTGAAGTAATACATACGCTTGTTAACCTAGTTCTGGACTGTTTCACATGGTTTCTACTACCTCTTATAAGTCCATAACCCAATCTTTTACTAATTAACCCAATTGCTGGGCCTGGTGGTTCATGTCTGTAATCCCAGCACTTTGGGAGGCAGAGACAAGAGGATTGCCTGAAACCAAGAGCTCAGACCAGCCTGAGCAATATGGCAAGACTTTGCCTCTACAGTAAAAAATCAAAAAATTAGCCGGGCATGGTGGTGCATGCCTGTGGTTCCATCCTACTTGGAAGGATCACCTGAGCCCAACCAGTCAAGGCTGCAGTGGCCGTGAGTATGTCACTGCACTCCAGCCTGGGTGACAGAGTGAGTTTCCAACTCAAAAATAAATAAATAATAAAAATAAACAAAAAAAGAAGACATAACTCCACCAATGTTATAGCTAACAAATCTCTATTGAGCAGCTAAATATCCCCAGAGGGGTGTGTGGAAGGATGGAGCAAGCTACTATCCCATTTCCCGGTTACAAAAGCAAGATTAATATACAGTACATATCAGATATTAAATTGCTAAGAATCTACACTACACTTGATTTTTGCCAAAACGTAGAGAAGGGATAATACCAGTATTAACTTCCCCTCAGCCCTTCCAGTCCTAAGTACCACACCTTCCTCACTCAGCTCCACAAAGGCAGCTTGTAAGTCTGTCCTTACAATCTTCAACATCCTCATCCCAGAGGCTAGTTTAATCCTTCCCTCCGGAGACCATCTCAATGTCACATTCCTCCCAGGAAATTCTATTATCAAATAAGTCTTTTCTCCAACGAGATTACAGTCCCTCTCTAGCCCTAGTTATTTGCGTTATCGTCTCCTCCATTATCCAGGCAGTGCCTCTTGCTGCCAGGTGGGGGCAGCATTGCTCCTTGAAAAAACACTCCAGACCCCAAGCTCATTTGATAATGTAGGACTATCAGTGAATTGGGCTGGAAAAGACCATTCAGAAATTTATAGTTCCCAAATAAAGGAACAAGCTGGAAAAAATATTTTTTCTCATGTGAAAAAGTTATAGAGATAACTAATAAATGTAATTTTGAGTCCTATTTGTGTCCTGCATTCTGTGAGGCAATAAGGATAGAAGAATGATTTGCTCAGATAAAAATCACACTTCAGGCAGTTTACAAAAGGTGGGGAGATAGGAGTCATCCTGGGAGAAGGTGTGATGGTAAAGAAACTGACAAGGGAGCTGGGCGTTGGTCGCTCACGCCTACAATTCCAGCAATTTGGGAGGAAACTAGAGGCCAGGGATTTGAGACCAGCCTGAGCAACACAGTGAGACCCCCAACTCTAAGAATTTTCTTTTTTTTTTTTTTTAAGTTGGAGTCTCACTCTGTCGCCCAGGCTGGAGTGCAGTGGCACGCTCACGGCCACTGCAACCTCAAGTGATCCTTCAGCCTCAGCTTTCCAAATAGCTGGTAACTACAGGCGCTCACCACCACACCCAGCTAATTTTTTGATTTACTGTAGAGATGAGGTCTCGCCAAGTCACCCAGGCTGGTCTCGAACCAGTGGGCTCAGGCAATCCTCTTGCCTAGGCCTCCCAAAGTGCTGGGATTATGAGCAAGAGCCACCGCACCTGGCCTAGGAATTTTTTCTTTTTTTTTTTTGAGTTGGAGTCTCACTGTCCCCCAGACTGGAGTGCAGTGGCCACTCCCGGCCACCGCAGCCTCGACCTGCTGGGCTCCGGCGATCCTTCCACCTCAGCCTTCCAAGTAGCCGGAATTACAGGCACGCGCTACCATGCCCAGCTAATTTTTTGATTTATTGTAGAGATGAGGTCTCTCCAAGTTGCCCAGGTGGGTCTCGAACCCGCAGGCTCAGGTAATCCACTCACCTCAGCCTCCCAAAGGCGCGGGATTACAGGCTGAGCCACCGAGCCCGGCTAGAATTTTTTTCTTAACTAGACATTCCAGCCTTGGCAAGGTAGGGAGATATCTCTACCCCACCTACTCCAGAGGCTAAGGCGGAAGGATCACCTAAGCCCAGGCGGTCAAAGGTGCTGCAATCCAGCCTGGATGACAGAGAGAAACCCCCAACTCAAAAATAAAATAAAATAAATATATATGTATGTATACGAATTTGTTAATAGGAAAATATCAAACGTGCTAATGATCTGCAAGACAATCGACAGAGTTGTAAAGTATCCAAATCAATAGCAAATAAGAAGTCAAACAAAAGTGCATATCCCTAGAAAGTCAGAATATATCCCCATGCAAGGTGGGTCTGCTATACAACATCAAAAGGACACCCAGACTTGCATATTCCCAAATTTTACATAATTTTTCTTAACAGGGTCAAGATAGAGACTGGATTCAAATAACAGCTCTACCAGCTCTACTATGTGATCTTGGCTAAGTAACTTAATCTAATACTCAGTTTTCTAATCTGTAAACTAGGAATGACAATAAGAACTACTATTTTTAAATTTAGGTAGTAGATATAAAGCTCTCAGCACAGCGCCTATCAGGAAAAAGCACTAATGAGTATTAATGATATTCAACATTCTTCAATTGTTTCACTTCATTTTTCTAATTTGTTACTTAACATCCCAGCCTTTTTGTTCCAGTCAAGCAGATATATTCATACACACACACACGTATATACACAATACGTAGATTTTCTTTAACTTGAACACTACATTTTATGTTCATGAACTATCCACTTGCTACTTTGTTAAAAAAAAAAGTTCAAAATGCAACTATTCCAAGGGTAAACTTGCATCATTATTATTATTAGCTGTCGTCTCACTCTGTCGCCCAGGCTGGAGTGCGGTGGCACGCTCACGGCCACCGCAGCCTCGACCTGCTGGGCTCAGGCAATTTCCTCCGTCTCAGCTTTCCAAGTAACTATAACTACAGGCGCGCGCCACCACGCCCGGCTATATTTTTTCTTTTTTAATTGTAGAGATGAGGTCTCGACAAACTGCGCGGGCTGGTCACGAACCTCTGGGATCAGGCAACCCTCTAGCCTCTGCCTCCCAAAGCGCTGGGATTACAGGCAAGAGTCACGGCGCCCGGCTTCCACCCTGTCCTTAAACGCAACACTTAAGCCCTGCCTACTCTCCCGAAATGGCTCCGTGCAAAGGACCTCCACCCATGATCAGCCCGAGGCCCGGTACCTGAGATTCCCCCCGCGCTGAGACCCCGGGTATCAGCCTCGGATTGTGCACTGGGCGGCTGGGGCGGAACCGAGTCGACGCCGACCGAGGCTTCGGGAGGGTCGGGATCCATGGAGGCGGATCTTGCACACGGGTTTAGGGTGTGTGTGGGAAAGAGGGGTTCAGGGCAGGATGTGGAAGAGGCAGCCGCGACCGTGACGGACAGTCAGTGCAAGATCGGCACGAAGTCGGGGCTTCAGCATTCCTGGCACCGTCACCGGGTGAGCGACACCTCTTCTCGCCCCTCTGGAGAGAACCTCCTAACCGCAATGCGGTCAGTGCATCACCGCACTTCCCTAGGGCGCATGCGCGCCTTTTTCGCGCCACAAGTCCGGGAGACGCACCCTCTGTGACCGCCTATCCAGGAACTCTTTACCCACAACTCCCCGGGCTCGCTCACTTGCGGTCTCCACACGCGCGAGCGCCTGCCATAACCCGCCCACAATCCCGTGGGCCTCTGCGGGGTACTATTTAAACGTATCTCGGCACTTTTTCGGTCTCATTTTTCTGCTACTTTTGGTGAGTGTCCTTGTAGGTCATGTGACTATTTTTCTTGTATATGGTTTGTCTTTAAATGATCGCAGGGGCCAGGCTTGGTGGCTCAGCCTGTAATCCCGCGCCTTGGGAGGCTGAGGTGAGTGGATTGCCTGAGCCCGCGGGTTTGAGACCCGCCTGGGCAACTTGGAGAGACCTCATCTCTACAATAAATCAAAAATTAGCCGGGCGTGGTAGCGCGCGCCTGTAGTTCCATTTACTTGGAAGGCTGAGGCGGAAGGATCGCCGGAGCCCAGCAGGTCGAGGCTGCGGTGGCCGGGAGCGGCCACTGCACTCCAGTCTGGGCGACAGAGTGAGACTCCAACGCAAAAAAAAAGAAATGATCGGCCCGCATTAGGCTTTCTGTATTGCACCTCTTTGGTGGTGGGGGGGAGAAGCAGATGAGATTTAGTGCGTACAGCAGCGGGGCCTTGTGGAGGACAAAATGGCGGTGGCCCTCCCTGTGATGAGGACCTTTTCACAGACCTGTACTGAGTTCCGTGAGGATAAATAACTCTGAGGAAACCGCCCTGCCCAGCCTCCGACTCTGCCGTCGCTCTAGAAAACAGCGTTTTCTAAATACCGAGGGCTAACCTTGTGGCTTCTTTGTTGTCTGCAGGGTTCGTGCGGTACGTGTGAATCGAAGAGAGCTCTCGTTGAAGTAAGTGCTTTGGGCCTTTTTTGACTTGCGGTCTTTCCTTGAGTGAATGAAAATACATGGGATGTGCTACGGGGATGATTTTGAGAATTGAACTCTCTCTTTCTGATGTGTTAGTGGAGAAAGCACAAAATTCTGAGTAGCGCGGGCCACAGCTAATGTCTGAAGTCTTTGGGGTTTTAGTTCTGAGACAGTAGTGAGGAGTGCCTTTTTTTTTTTCCCCAGATATTCGCCTCAAAGGAGCTTACTGGTGGGAGAATGAGGCAAGATCTACCTTTTTGCAAAGTCAGTGTCACAGTCATGATCCAGGTGGGCTAACATGGTTTATAATAGGGGAGGGGACACTTGCTGGGTGACCACTCCCATGATGAACATAAAACGACAAGCATATGACTGAACTCAGGTGATGTCATCTCAACACTGAGAAGTGGGCCAGGAGTATTCAAAGAACCGAATCCCTATTCTTAAGTGCTTATAACACCTCCCCTTTCTGTCTCCAGCATGGGGTAACCTGTCCTGAGGAAATCAACTGCCTCCCAGGGTGAAACAGGTAATTATCCCAAAGGGGATTTAGGGCATGTCATCCCTCTGGTACATAACACAATCAGGAGGCAAGCGGTCAGTGGAGGAGTGTTGCTCTTTCCATCTTCCTCTTGAAATAATTTTCTGAAAAGGGAGAGGGCACCTTTTGAAGGTATGCCCTTCCTCACCCACGTCATCAATCACAACACTGTCAGATGATTTGAATTGGTAAGCTGATGATCTGTGAGGTGCAAAAGTCAATAGCATGTTAGAGTTCTGATGGCAGTTGTTGCTGCCAAAGAAATTTTGCTCCCTCCTAATACTTGAAAATTACCATCTGTTCTCTTTTCCCAGGTTGTCCTGATGGATGTCCTCCATCTTACGGTAAGTAGTATCTCTTGAATGCCATGATGAATTACCATATATTTGAGTCCACTTGACAAAGGATCACCTTACTGTCGCGGTATTTGCCACTGAAGCGAGATTAAGCCATAAAGCTTTCTGGTTCTTTAGTGTTTCTTGACCTCCCCTATCATTTCCTTTATGCCCACTGATAAACCCAGAAGTTCAAAGTGGTGAAGACTTGACAATTGCAGCTTGCCAGAGTTCAGTGCCAGTGAGGAACAAACATCCTGTCTTCACGCCTGTTCTGGCCCTAGAACCAGTAATGGTGAACCCACTGGGATAACTAGGAGAGAGGATGGCAAGTTCCATAAGGAACTGAGGTCTGAAACCTATTGGTAGTATGGTGTTAGTTGATTTGAATACTTTGCTAATAAAATTTTTTTATTCAGGAGCAGCTTTGTTCCTGTTTGCCATTGAAAAGGCTTTGGAATTAAGAGGTTAGTTAATTTTTGTTTCGATTTATGCCACCAGGTAAGCAGTTTCTATGATGAATCAAACTAGCTCACTCTGACTGACAGTGAATACACAGGAACACCTGAGAAACCAGAAAGGCTAGGAGTAAGGGGGTACCATGTCTAAGAAACCTTTTAATGCAGTTTTGTTTTTCCCTCAGGTACCATTACCAATAACTTGATTTTTTAAAGGTGAGTAATTTTAGTATGTTCAGAAACTAACAGCAAATTGAGTAGAAACAAATGGCTTTTTAGGCCTATACACATGATGACTTACATTGGAATCTCGTTCGGCTGATGGCTTGCTGTTGAGACTCGGAAGTCTGACTTTCTAGGAAGAGTAGCTTAGGTAGGAACAACTTAATGCCAATTTAAGCATTACTTAACTCCATCTTTGTTTCAGATCCAGCACTTTGTTTGGAGCACAAGAATGATTTGAGGTAAATGCCTTTGCAGCATTCACCATCCATCTACTACTGCTGTATAAAATTTACTGTGATGGCACTTAACATCTGGGTAGCTATGCAAAAGGAATTACTGGTCTGATACAAGTTCTGCTTTTTTGGCCATTCATGAAACACTAGTGGTAAGTTCCTGCTCACCAATGATGAGGTGAATACCGCCCCAGTCTGATCACTGTGACTGAAAGGTACTTCTGAGCTGTGAGCTTGCCTTACAGTAACAGCTTCCAAAATTAGGTTAATTGAGTCAGCTTTATAGCCATCGTGAAGTTATCTGACCTGGCTAGTAACTGCCATAATGCAGATGTACTTTTCCAAGCAACAAAGATGGTTGAGATACTTATCTCCCTTGTTTCATTTGCAGGGAAACAAAATAAGCCTTAATTACAGCTGGAGCTTAATTACAGCTGGAGCTAAAGGTAACTAAACTTGAGTGTGTAAGGCAGGCTAAGTTCAAATTTCCCAATGAAGAAACACTCCCACATCTTACTTCCTGTCCTAGTCCCAGAGCCTGTAAAGGTGAACCCACTGGGGCTGGCTGGGGGAGAAGAGGAAATGTGTTCCAGAAGGAACTGTCTGAGGGACCCTAAGGATGTGTATAAAGAAAGTAAAGAATGATCACTTGTTAAAACATTACTTCTCTTTTCCAGGTCTGAAGAAAGAGCAAGGTGCAAATAAATGTAGGTATCTCAAATATTTATTGGTATGTAGTGCTTGATCATGATCAAAGTGCTCAGAAGCAGGCCTTTAATTAACTGGCTCAGAATACTCCATTGTAAAGTTACAGATGACATAGCAGCAGCATGCACCACCATTCAACACATACAGTGAGAAATTCAGACTTCTCTGTTCCTCTGCAGGAGTCAAGTGTGGAGTCTCAGAAGATTTTCTGTCTTCCAAATAAAAGTTTTTTCTTTAAAAAAAAAAAACATTGCTGGGTGATTCATTTTTCCTGGTGGGTCTAGGTGAGCACATGGAAATGGCCCTGAGAATCTGCTTGTTACAACTAGATTTGGTCCAACATAGTATGGCAGATTTCCTTTTGCAGGCTTTACTAGTCTTAGGAAAGCATCATTTGGAAAGTATATTGGGATGCTTAAGAAACTTTTATATATATATAAATCTTGGAGAAAATGCCTGGGTATGGGTGATCCATTAGCTACACCTTCATAAAGTCTAGCTGCCCTTGCAGGATCAGGCCCAGAAATGAATAAGGGCACCACATCAATTTCCAGTTTGCTGACCTATACTTTGATCCAGCTGAACTGCCAGCCACTGCCGGTTGGGCTCTTTAACCCTCTTCCCTCCACCCTTTTGTAGTTACTCTGAAGAATCATTTGTTGTGACATGCAAAGGGTTCATTTAGGTGCTTAAGTCACTTCTCTGGAAGGTCTATACATCGGTCCATTGTAAATTTATGCTATTGTGCTGAGCTCACTGTCTTCCGTGCTGGGGTGTAGTGTACTGGGCCATCACAGCTCACCACAACCTAAAATTCCTGGGTTAGGCTGAACCTTGCACCTCAAGCTTACCAAGTAACTGCCACCACACCTGGCTAATTTTTTTGAGTAGGAGTCTTGCTTGAGGTTGGAGTGCAGTGGCACACCCACAGCCACCACAGCCTTAACCTGCTGGGTTTAGGCAGTCCTTCCACTTCACCCTTCCAAGAAGTTGGAACTATAGTTGCATACCACCAGGCTTGGCTGGTTTTTATGATTTATTGTAGAGAAAGGATCTTGCCAAATTAACCTGGCTGGTCTCCAGCCACTGGGCTCAGGCAGTCTTCTTGCCTCAGCCTCCCAAAGTGCTGAGCCACCACACCTGGCCCTGGCAAATTTTTTTCAGTTTTTAGACTGGGTACAGTGCCTTATGCCTATAATCCCAGCACTTTGGGAAGCTGAAGTGAGAGGATTCTGAGACCAGTCTGGGCAACTTGGTGAGATCTCATCTCCACAATAAATAAAAGCTAGCTGGGTGTAGTGGTGCAAGCCTGTAGTTCCAGCTGTTTGGAAGGATGAACTGGATCGCCTAAGCCCAGCAGGTCGAGACTGGTGGCTGAGTGTGCTACTACCAAAAAATTGTTTTTAGAAAGTGCCCTATATTGCCCAGGCTGATCTCAAAACAGCTCAAGTATCCCTACCTCACCCTCCCCAAGTACTGAGATTGCACAGATGAACTACCACACCTGGCCAAATCTCTGCTTTGTTTTTTTGGATTAGAAAACTTTTAGAAAGTAAATTAGAGGAGATTCACCTCCCCAAAGTAGGGCAGGGGACCAAAGATTTTCAGGAAACATGGCCTGGCCACAACTCAAAGAGCACATGGACACCACAGCTTAGCAAGGCAATGATTGCAATGGCCTGCTGGGTTTAGGCAGTCCTTCCACTTCACCCTTCCAAGAAGTTGGAACTATAGTTGCATACCACCAGGCTTGGCTGTGGTGAATTTTTGCTGTTGTTTGAGTTAGAGTCTGTCTCACACTGCAGTGCAGCTTTCCAAGTAGCCAGACCTAGAGTCAGGCGCTATCTCGCCCACCTAATTTTTTATTTATTGTAGAGACAAGGTCTTGTCTAGTTGCCCAGGCTGGTCTCGAACCCGTGGGCTCAGGCAGTCCTCTCGCCTTGGCCTCCCAAAGTGCTAGGGTTAAGGCTGAGCCACCGAGCCCAGTCTTTATTTTTATCTATTTATTTATTTTATTTTATTTATTTATTTTTTTTGAGTTGGAGTCTCACTCTGTCACCCAGACTGGAGTGCAGTGGCTGCTCCCGGCCACCGCAGCCTCGACCTGCTGGGTTCCGGCGATCCTTCCACCTCAGCCTTCCAAGTAGCCATAACTACAGGCATGCGCTACCACGCCCGGCTGATTTTTTGATTTATTGTAGAAACAAGATATCGCCTGCCCAGGCGGGTCACGATATTTATATATATATATATATATTTTTTTTTTTTTTTTTTTTTTTAGTTGGAGTCTCATCTCATTCTCACCCAGGCTGGAGTGCAGTGGCACACACAACCACCATAGCCTCGACCTGCTTGACTCAGGCAATCCTTCCTCAGCCTTCCAAGTAGCTGGAACCACAGGCACAAGACACCATGCCCGGCTAATTTTTTGATTTATTGTAGAGATGAGGTCTTAGCAAGTTGTCCAGGCTGGTCTCAAACCTGTGGGCTCAGGCAATCCTTTCACCTAGTCCTCCCAAAGTGCTGGTATTATGGGCTTGAGCCACCACACCTGGCAAAAATGCCTTTCTTATACTATCATTCTAACCACAATAATCCTAAAACTTATATATAAAGATTTAAAGAACAGGGGTGGAAATCCCGTATCCATTATTTTTTTGAGTCTCACTCAGTTGTCCAGACTGGAGTGCAGTGGCCCAGCTCACTGCTACCTTGAACTCCTGGGTTCAAGTAATTCTTCCTCCTCAACCTCCCAAGTAGCTGGAAGTACAGGCACATGTCACCATGCCTTGCTAATATTGACATTTTATAGAGACAAGGTCTGGCCATGTTGTCCGGGCTGGTCTCAACCTCCTAGGCTCAAGTGAACCTCCCACTTTGGGGGATCGCCTGAACCTAACAGGCTGAGGCTGTGGTGGCCGTGAGCATGCCACTGCATTCCAGCCTGGGTGACAGAGTGAGACTCCAATTAAAAAAAAAAAAAAAAAAAAAGCTCTCGGATCTGGAGGCCACTAACCCAAACCTTGTGAATTTATCAAAGTGATCGGACCAAACCTAGGGTGAAGCTGGAGCAGAGGCCAGGCAGGGGCCATTTGAAGTACTTGATAGAGATGAAACTCTACAAACAGCCGGACTTGGGGGCTCAGCCTGTAATCCCGCACCTTTGGGAGGCTGAGGTGAGTGGATTGCCTGA